TTTTTTTTTTTGTTTTTTTTTTTTTTTTTTTGTGTGAAGGCAACGTGTCGGATAAACTTTTTTTTTTTTTTTTAAATCCCCTAAAAAGCCAATGTCCGTTTCAACAAATAAGGGCGTCTGCTTGACCGGAATTGCAACAGAGAGGGGGGTGTGGGGTGGCAATCAGGTTACCAAAAAAAAGGAAAGGGGTGAAACGAAGTATGGGAAAACCTGAAAAAAAATGAACACAACAAAGCAAAGAACGTGTCGGCAAGACGCCTTCGTCAGCGAACAAACAACAGTAAAAAACAGAATTACGTAAAAATAACACTGAGCTGGAATGTAGTGTCCGAGCGACATGGCGAGAGATTTGTGACACAAATAAGTAGATGAGAGATTAAATACGAGCTGAACAGGAAAGAAAAGAGGCACGGGCATGTGTTGTCAAGGTTACATAAGTCTGGATCAGCTTGTTTAAAAAAAAAAAAAAAATTAATAATAAATGTTGCAAATATTTTCTTAAGAATGGGTTACTTCAAAGATGGATGGAATGATGAATGGTTTGATGGATATGTGGTTGGGTTGATATGTGGATTGACGGCTCGATTGATTTTTGATTTCTGATTGCAGATATGAATTGAGAAAGGGAATCAATAATAAATACTCTCTGGTAACTAAATTTACAGTTACATTGTCAGTTACAAGGACAGTAATAACTACTGTTACATGGTCAGCTAGAGCAACGGCTATCAGGTCACAAATTCTGTTACAATATAAGTTACAAGGACAGTGGCATACTAGATAAAAAGTACATTCACAAGGAAAGTTGAAAAGGACAGTTACTAGGAATTTAAAAGACAGTTAAAAAAGTCAGTTACAAAGACAGAATGACAGCTACAAGGTCAGTTACAGGGACTGATACAAGGGCAATTACAGGGGCAGTTACAATGACAGTTTTATGGAAAGTTACCAGGACAGTTAGAAGGACAGTCACAGTGACAGTTACAGGACATTTACGATGACAGTTACAATGTGAATTACAAAGACGGCTACAAGGACAGTTTCAGTGACAATTACAGTTACAAGGAAATTTACAAGTACATTAAGAAGGGCATTTAAACGTACAGCTACAAGGACAGTTACAATGACTGTTACAATGACAGTTACAAGGATAGTTACATGAGCTGTTACATGGACAATTACATGGACAGTTACATGGACAATTACATGGACAGTTACAAGGACATTTACAAGAAATTTATAAGGACAGCTACAAGGACTGTAATAAGGACAGTTACAATGACAGTTACAATGACAGTTACAATGACAGTTACAATGACAGTTACAATGACAGTTACAATGACAGTTACAATGACAGTTACAATGACAGTTACAATGACAGTTACAATGACAGTTACAATGACAGTTACAATGACAGTTACAATGACAGTTACAATGACAGTTACAATGACAGTTACAATGACAGTTACAATGACAGTTACAATGACAGTTACAATGACAGTTACAGTGACAGTTACAATGACAGTTACAATGACAGTTACAATGACAGTTACAATGACAGTTACAATGACAGTTACAATGACAGTTACAATGACAGTTACAATGACAGTTACAGTGACAGTCACAATGGCAGTTACAATGACAGTTACAATGACAGTTACAATGGCAGTTACAATGGCAGTTACAGTGACAGTCACAATGACAGTTACAACGACAGTTACAATGACAGTCTCGATGACAGTTACAAGACCAGTTAAATGGAGAGTTAAACGGAAAGCTACTGGTCGTGTTCAATGAAAGTTGCAAGAGCAGTTACCCTCAGAACCTCCATGCACCAGGCTGACGGCCTCTGGGCAGCCCCGGCTCTCGCTCGTCTCCTTCCCGCCGACCTGCTCGTCACAGCCAATCATCACACTCCCCGCCACGTTGATCGACCCCAGGAGGCACTGGTCCAGTTGGTCGGTCCTCTCCAAGTCCACCCTGTTACCGGACTCGTGGGCCCCGAGCTCGGACCCGGCCACCGAATCCTCCCGCGGCCCGTGGATCTCGCTGAAGGTGGCCTGCACGCAATCGTTGTCCGACTGCGGGTCCGTGAGGTCGAGCGACTTCTGCTCGCTGAACGTCCAGTAGACGTGCGCGGTGTTCATGGCCTCCAGGACGTTGTTGACCAGGCCCTCCTCGGTGTAAGCGCCCAGCTTGTCCCGAGTGTCTTCCCGGTCGGGCTCCGCAGCGTCGAGCGGTATCGTCATTGGCTCTCGTGCCGAGTTGAAGGACGCTACATTCTCGGACGCGCCGTCCTTCCCAGACTCCATCCTCTCGCCCGGCCGCCTTAACTCTTGCTCCTCGGATACGTCCGCTTGGCTCTCCCGCACCTCCTCGTCCGATGCCCCCGGGGATTTCTTCGCGTTCGTCTTTTTATCGGATTTCCCCGAACTTTTCTTGGAATTTCGCCCGATCACGTTGATGGTCCCGTAGTCCTTGTACGTTTTGATCTGCGTGTTTTCCCCTCCGATGTTGATGTAGACGTGCTCGCCCCGGATGCTCATCGAAGCGCGCTTGCCCTCGGAGCTCGCGTCTTTGGAGCCGTGCGCACTTTTCTTATCCGGAGTCGGGGTCCTCAGGGTATCCTCGGCAAACCCGTAGGAGTCGAACTCCCCCAGGATGATAACTTGTGTGTGCCGCTTGTTGAACGACATCTTTTCGTGCCCTTCTCTGATCTTTATTCGTTCTGGGTTCACCTCTATGTTGAGCGGTGAATCCTTGTCCGTCGACCGTCCTTGGAGCGGTGCCGATCCACCCGGCGGGGCCTCAAGTTCAGCTCCATCATCTTTTAACTGGTCATCGGCATCGTCGGGGATGGGATCATTTTCTTTCTCCTTTCTAACCGTTTCGGGATTCGTCCAACTTTTCAACTTCCAGTTTCCCACCTGACCCGTGTTCTCCAGGTTCCGCTCCAAAAACCAACACCTCCCCGAGGAGTGAGGCGCCTCCGGGTCGGCCAGTGCATCTGTCTCATCCTTCGCACTGTCCTTGACCTCTTGCAGAATCGGCGCCGCTGCCTCTGCCGTGCACGGGTCGGGGGACAGACTCTCCACCGACGAGATGGTGTTGTCCTTGCTCGTCTTCCGCTTGTCGCGTTTCTTGCCCTTGCCCAGGTCCCGCGTGTCGAAGGGTGCGATGTACAAGTTGTAGAACCTCTCCAGTGGGGACATGGCAGGGGCGGACCGCCAGTGGCGCTTACTCGCGGACGACTTCGAGCGGTCCGCTTTCTTGTCAAGGGCGCCGGGGTGTTTGACTGGTCCTGCCATGAAGTCCTCTTCAGCACAGCGGACCTTCCACAGAGATCACATCGAAAAATGCATATTTATTACGTTAAAAGATGTTGTACGGAATGCAATTATTATTTTCTGTTGCTGTGTGTATGTGTGTAGTAGGTAAACATATTTAAAAAAAACAACTATAACTTCAATGGCCGATTTCCTTCGTTTAAACTATCATTCACTATGATGGCAACATCACTTACGTTTTAATGTGAATTGTACATTATTGGTAATCTTAGACAGTATTATAGTCCGACAAGTATTCTGATGGACCACTAAGTTAAAGATAAGAGGGGTGTAGTACTACAAAGTCGTGTAGTCGGTTTGTGGGATTTTAACAATTCAAGAACTTAGACAGCCGAGTATAAACTTTTAACACTCATAGAGATAATGCGATGGATACCAACATACTACGACTTATAGAGATTAGACGGTGGATACCAACCTCCTACGACTTATAGAGAATAGACGATGGATAACAACCTACTACGACTTATAGAGAATAGACGATGGATACGAAGCTTCTTCCACTCAGAGAGATAAGAGGGTGTATACCAACCCCCTACCACTCATTGAGATAAGAAGGTGTATACCAACCCCCTACCACTCATAGAGATAAGAAGGTGTATACCAACCCCCTACCACTCATAGAGATAAGAAGGTGTATACCAACCCCCTACCACTCATAGAGATAAGACGGTGTATACCAACCCCCTACCACTCATAGAGATAAGACGGTGTATACCAACCCACTACCACTCATAGAGATAAGACGGTGTATACCAACCCCCTACCACTCATAGAGATAAGACGGTGTATACCAACCCCCTACCACTCATAGAGATAAGACGGTGTATACCAACCCCCTACCACTCATAGAGATAAGACGGTGTATACCAACCCCCTACCACTCATAAAGATAAGAAGGTGTATACCAACATCCTACCACTCATAGAGATAAGATGACAACCTGTTATACCAACCTCTTCTACGTGTGGTTGGGGTAATTCGTCGAAATCTAGAGCCATCAAGCTGTCCAACCCGACCAAGTGGCTATGTTTGGGACGTTTTGAGGAGCGTCGCCTGGACGTCATCCCGAGCTAGACAAGAAGTCAACCTTAAAACATAACAACAACAACATATACATATAAACATAGTAATAAATAAACATATACTAAACAAGGATACACAGAGTAATAGATATTAACATAGAGATCAGCATTAACATTGACATTGAAATTAACATTGACAAAGACATTAACATAGGTTCATATTAACAAAGACAAATATATCAACAGAGACATTGGCCTTAACAAAACAAAAAATGACGTAGACATTTACATTAACATAGACCAAAACACAGAAATAGACGTTTATATAGACATTGCTATAGACATTGCCATTAACATTGACATTGTCATTTACATAGAAATCATGCTAACATAGAAATTGACATATATGTAGACACGTGCATTAACGTCAACAAAGACATTGACACAGTCAATAACATAGAGTTAGATACTAGCTGGAAACTTGAGGTTCACTATGTTTAAGTGGCGGCACTTCTATTCATGTGATAGAGCAGTGGCTCTCAACCATCCCAATGCCGCGACCCTTTAATACAGTTCCTCATGCTGTAGTGACCCCCAAATCATAAAATTACTTTCGTTGATACTTCATGTCGTCCCATGGTCTTAGGCGACAACCTGTGTAAGGGGAGATGGCCGTGTAATTAAAAATCACAATTCAATTTCTTGTTTACCTCCCATTACGAAAGTTGCTGCCAGCTTACAAATTGAAAAAAGACTAAGGGGTCGTTTGCAAATTTTGTCCCGTAAAAAATGACCTTTTTAGACCCCCCCCCCCCAATCCTCCTTGTCACAAAGTGTCACAATAAAAAAGGATAAGGGGTCGTTTGCAAATTTTGCCCCTAAAAAAATGACCTTTTTAACCCCCCCCCCCCCAATCCTCCTTGTCACAAAGTGTCACAAATTCTTTACCCCTCTCCCCCCCCCCTCATTAGTGTCACGTCACACCTAAAAAAAAAATCTAAACATACCTAACATTTTCATATCTAAACTAAGATTTTATTTTATTCTTTAACATTTTCCCATGATGGATGAAGAAATGTAGTATAACTAGAAAACTGTGACGCCAAACAACGAGGTCATCCACAAGCCGAATGTAAAATGGCCACTACAGTTGACTGAATTTCAGGGTACCTATACTATCTGAGGCAATTTCGACCTCAAATTTATGGTTTTAAAATTAATGAACTGATTGACTAAAGATTTTTCAAAATTAGAAAATTTTAGACTTACCATAAAAAGAACCAAAAAAAAAAAAATTAATAATATAATTTTTTGTTTCAAATAATGACGTCACAAAATTTGGAATCCCCCCCCATCTTCTCCTGTCACAAAAAGCGTCACAAACTCTCGATTTCTTAAAATAAATGGTTGAAAGTTTTACTTTAAATACAACTAAAAATTATCTGTAGCTCAAAGACATCCTGACACCTTTTCGCAGACTACGCAGGGGTCCGTGGAACATAGGTTGAGAAACCCTGGTCTTCAATGAAAATTAAAAAAAAAAATAATACGCATGTCGACAAGAAAGTGCTGTTACTTTCATCCTCTAAGTTAACTCCGAGTTTTTTCGTGGCTGGCTTGCAAAACAAAAAATCTTCAGACGGCTGATTGATCCACTTCCCGTCAACCCATCGAGCTGAAATTTGGCACCTAGACTCGTTGCTTATGACGACACACTCTATCGAAATTTCGGTCCCCCAACCCCCAACCAAAACTCTCCAAAAATTAGAACTTCCAATTTTTTTTTTTTTTTTTTTTTTTTTTCAAAGGGAATAGGAAGGAGATATGATGCCACTGATTTCAGGACATAAAATCCCCGATAACTGCGCCAAATGAGATTCTTTAAAAAAAAAATTAAAATCGCTACTGCGTTTATTGCGTAACATTTTCTTTTGTTTTCTGAAACAGTGAAAAACAAATCTGCGGTTGTAAAATCTGTTGGGTCATTTAAATGTAAACATAGCTCAGCGGCGTGGAACAAAAAAATGTGTGTTTGCGAGCCTTGAAAGGGGGTGAGGTTGGGGGGGGGGAATATTGGAATTCTTATCAAGTGCGAATGTATGTTTTGTTGTTGTTTTTTTTTTAATTTTCAGCATGACCCAACCCCCCTCCCCCTTTTCGTCCTGCTTGAATTTATTTTTTTATTTAAGATTTACACGGAAATTTTTTTTTTTTTTTTTTTTTGTTTTTGTTTTTTTTTTAATTTTCAGCATGACCCAACCCCCCTCCCCCTTTTCGTCCTGTTTTAATTTATTTTTTTATATAAGATTTACACGGAAATTTTTTTTTTTTTTATGGGTTGCATAATTGAATAGTTAAATGTGACAGAACTTTACAAGGCATTTTGATGTCAGATAAAACAAAAAAAAAAAAAATGTATTGATTGGTAGGGTAACTTGGTAGCCTGGTAACTTATTCAACTGACCGCGTCCAGAAACGCCATCGTCCACGACGCATGCACGCATGAGTGCTCATGTCCAAACCTCATTTCAGATGAATCCAAAGTTACTTAATATCTCTTCCGTCGGATGGTCGTCCCCTCTCATCGTGAGATGTTCTTTTGTTGTTGTTGTTTTCCGACACCGTCGCCATTTTGGTGCGCTCGCGTGACGTCAGTGAGTTCTTTTTGCGTGTTAGAGAACTTGAGGCATGTGTAGAAAAGAAGAAATCCCAATAATTTGTTCTGTATTTTAGGTCAAGTCTTTACATGAACGATTGTTCAGTCCACTCTTTTGACAGGGTACCCGCTCCCTCAGCCCCACCAAACACGCTTTTGACAGGGTCTTCTATCTCCCCCCCACCCCCACGTCACCAAATTCTTTTGACAGGGTCTTCTATCTCCCCCCACCCCCACGTCACCAAATTCTTTTGACAGGGTCTTCTACCCCCCACCACCCCACCAATCACTCTTTTAACAGGGTCGTCTCTCCCCCACCCCCCTCCCCAAACACTCTTTTACAGGGTCGTCACCCCACAGAAAACTTTTCTGACAGAGTCGTCTATCCCCTCCTCCTCACCCCAAGTCGTGTGTCTCAACATCCCCCCCACCCCCAATTAAAACCCCGACGTTGTCCAATGCTATGGGTAATGGTAACTAATGCGCTTAATTCAAGAGTTCAATATGAATGTAGCCTAATTAGGCTTCTCCTTCACATACCCTCATACTATCGAACCCTCATACTCCTTCACTTCACATACTCTCATACCATCGAACCTTTATACTCCTTCACATACCCTCATACTATCAAACCTTTATACTCCTTTATATACCCTCATACTATTGAACCCTCATACTACATCACATACCTGAACCCTCATACTACATCAATGCCCTGATACTATCAAACACTAATACTCCTTCACATATCCTCATGCTATCGAACCTTCACACTCCTTCACATACCCTCATACTAATCGTACACTCACGCTCCTTCACGCAGCATAACATCTTACCAAATCCCCACATTCAATTCACTCATACACCCTCACACCCCTGTTAAGGACTTGGCTGTATCCTGTGACTGCGTGTCGGCTTGGAGAGTATGTGTGTTGTTATATCTATTATTCTTAGCATCTTGTGACGTAATGTGTGAAAGGGGATGTGACGTAGTATTGTTGTGGAGAGTGTTGTGGTGGGTGTTCTTGGAGTAGAGTAATGGCAGTTGAAGAATCAGTTCGTTAATCAAGATACTTAATATGAGAGTAATGGTTTGTGAGGTGTATATAATTAAACCCCTAGACAACGAAGCCAACGAACCTTTTAAGTAAGACCAGGTTCGTAACAATCCCGTATTGCTCTTTCACATACATATCCTCACCACACACATCCCTCCAATACGCCTTCGACCTCGCAGTCCCTCACACATAGCGCCACACACGCCAGTCACCAACTCTCACCACACCTACCACTCATACTTTCACTGAAAACAATCTCACAGTCCCTCACACATCTCAACCACCCCTCCCCCACACAAACTCCCCCACACACTCCCCAAAACCCACCAACCAACTTTATGACCCGACATTACCCTACTCCCCGATGTAGTATAGCAGTTTTACCCCACAGCCACTAAACTATCGATCATAAATCAATAACCTCACGAGTCTACCAGGCAGTTCAATGAGATCCCTTTTGGTTCACTCGATTCCCTCGGGGGCCCACGACCCGCCAGATCGCCTGTGAAGAAGAGGGCAGGTGGGACCGGGGGGGGGGTGTGAACTGGTACCTGGCAGGTCTTTGACACCCGACCGTAGGTCTTACTTCACGGTCCCGTCCCCCCTTCCGCTTCAACCACACCAGTTAAAACTCAAACCGTCTGCTCTACGCCACGGGGGCTTGTCACTGGAGATCTTCCCTTGTAATGTGTTTGTATCTATTTCTGCTGGTGCGGTTGTAGGGTGTACCAGGAGATTCTGTCAGCGGGAATAACGGAGGAGACGTAAGCACAGGTAAGTAATGACACAACAACGGCTACCGCGACTTAATGGGTTTTTGGGTTGTTGTTTTTTTAAATAAGAGTTTTGAGAAGAGATGAGACTTTAGGAGAGGGACACTCAGAATAGGACAATAAAAGAGAGGGGGGTGGACGCTTTCGATGGTCAGAGTCGGTCAGTCGGTTTCTGAGTGAGACAGTTAATCACTGGACTGTTAGTGTCGGGATTTCGGAGTCCATGTTTGTGCCAAAGCTCCTGTCGGAGTCCATGTTTGTGCCAGCGCTCCCAGTTGGAGTCCACGTTAGTGCAGAGCTCCCAGTTGGAGTCCATGTTTGTGCCACAGCGCCCAGTTGGAGTCCATGTTAGTGCTAGAGCTCCAAGTTGGAGTCCACGTTAGTGCCAGAGCTCCCAGTTGGAGTCCATGTTTGTGCCACAGCGCCCAGTTGGAGTCCATGTTAGTGCTAGAGCTCCAAGTTGGAGTCCATGTTTGTGCCAGAGCTCTTGGTTTAGAAGACAGTATGATTGTTAAAAGAAAAAGAAGCTAGTCTAAACCGAATAACCTCTCTTAGTGTCTCTGATTTCCCGGGGGTTTGGATTACCCCACAAAAAAGTCGATGAAGTTTTCCCCATCACGGGATCCCGGAATTCCCGAAATCTAAATAATTTAATCAAAAATATGTTTTAAACTGAATTATACAATTTTTTTTTTTAAATTGATTTTTTGAGGTGTTTAATTGTTATTGACTATTAATTAACAAACAAGCAAAAAATGTGACGTTTCGTTGAAAGGCTGGTCACCTGCTACTAGTTGCTGGATTTTCATCCGCTTATCCTTTGAAATGAATCACTAGCTGATAATATGTTTGTTGAGCAAAAAGTGCGATCTAACCGCCTGTAGGAAAAAGAAACCAACAACATGAGACTTAACGAGTTTCACATTTTATACTGGTCACTAATTCTAGTTTCGAATCCGTCACTAAATATTTACAGGCAAATGCTTCTAACAACTTGTATCAAGCAAATGTTTCTAAAAAAATTGTAATACGCAAATGGTTCTAAAAAAATTGTAATACGCAAATGGTTCTAAAAACATTGTAACAAGCAAATGGTTCTACAAAAATTGTAATAAGCAAATGGTTCTACAAAAATTGTAATACGCAAATGGTTCTAAAAAAATTGTAACAAGCAAATGGTTCTAAAAAAATTGTAACAAGCAAATGGTTCTACAAAAATTGTAATAAGCAAATGGTTCTAAAAAAATTGTAATACGCAAATGGTTCTAAAAATATTGTAACAAGCAAATGGTTCTAAAAAAATTGTAACAAGCAAATGGTTCTACAAAAATTGTAACAAGCAAATGGTTCTACAAAAATTGTAATACGCAAATGGTTCTAAAAAAATTGTAATACGCAAATGGTTCTAAAAAAATTGTAACAAGCAAATGGTTCTACAAAAATTGTAATAAGCAAATGGTTCTACAAAAATTGTAATAAGCAAATGGTTCTAAAAAAATTGTAATACGCAAATGGTTCTAAAAATATTGTAACAAGCAAATGGTTCTACAAAAATTGTAATAAGCAAATGGTTCTAAAAAAATTGTAATACGCAAATGGTTCTAAAAATATTGTAACAAGCAAATGGTTCTACAAAAATTGTAACAAGCAAATGGTTCTAAACGTATCCGGAAATTTGATCGAAGGAAATTTCGTCGACGGTAAATTGGTCGACGGTAATATGATCGAACGGAAATTTGGTCGAATCTTCTTTTCAATTTTTACGTAACAATTTTGCATCAAATTTCTTTTTGAACGAATTATTTTGTTTTACTAAATAGTATAGTGCGTTCAAAAAGAAATTTGACGAAAATTTCAACGTGCGAACGGAAAAAAAGATTCGACCAAATTTCCGTTCGATCAAATTACCGTCGATCAATTTACCGTCGACGAAATTTCTTTCGATCAAATTTACGGTAACCGGTTCTAAAAACTTGTAACAAGCAAATGGTTCTAAAAACTTGTAACAAGCAAATGGTTCTAAAAACTTGTAACAAGCAAATGGTTCTAACAACTTGTAACAAGCAAATGGTTCTAACAACTTGTAACAAGCAAATGTTTACAAACAACATGTAACAAGCAAATGGTTCTAACAACTTGTAACAAGCAAATGTTTACAAGCAACATGTAACAAGCAAATGGTTCTAACAACTTGTAACAAGCAAATGTTTACAAACAACATGTAACAAGCAAATGGTTCTAACAACTTGTAACAAGCAAAGGTTTACAAACAACATGTAACAAGCAAATGGTTCTAACAAATTGTAACAAGCAAATGTTTACAAGCAACATGTAACAAGCAAATGGTTCTAACAACTTGTAACAAGCAAATGTTTACAAACAACATGTAGCAAGCAACTGGTTCTAACAACTTGTAACAAGCAAATGTTTACAAACAACATGTAGCAAGCAACTGGTTCTAACAACTTGTAACAAGCAAATGTTTACAAACAACATGTAACAAGCAACTAGTTCTAACAACTTGAAACAACGGATTCATTTCGAATAAATTTAAAAAAAACAACAACCAGGAATGAAACTAACGGCATCTCTACGTTGAAATCTCTCACTGTGTGGGTTATGGAAAGAAAAAAAGACACTACGTAATATACAGGTAGTTTGAAAAATGAAGCCTTGGGACAGTCAAGTTACTGGTGCAAAGCCTTCAAGCCCATTGGAGGTGATCTCAAATTGGATTACGAATGGGATGTGGGGTCGCTGGCTAAACGTTATGTGGGGTCGCTGGCCTGAAACTATAGATTAAGAGAAAGTGAGATTTTTAAAGATATTTAAAAAACAAAAAACAACTGGAGTCAGCCTCACAGGAAATGACACCCTCACATGGGGATGACACCCTCACAAGGGGATGACACCCTTACATGGGGATGACACACTTACATGGGGATGACACCCTCACATGGCGATGACACCCTCACACGGTGATGACACCCTCACATGGTGATGACACCCTCAGAGTGGATGACACCCTCAGATTGGCTGACACCTTCACAGGGGATGACACCGTCACATGGGGATCACACCCTCACAGGGGATGACACGCCCACATGGGGAGGAAACAAAATGAAACATAGTAAATTTTACAGAGCTCAATCAAGTGGC